TTGGGCTCCGGTGCTGGAGACTGGAGATTCCCACTTACGGTTTAGACCCCGCTCTCCTCAGAGGGATCCAACGGGCTTTTTCAATATCCCTTTGGTGTTTCTGCCTGTTGGTGCCCCACCCATCTTCTCGAGTCTCTACTGCACTCCTTACCAGTGAGGTGTGATAAAGCTGATTCTTCTGTCTGTCCAAGCTAATAAGGCTCCTCTCTCACTATTGTTCAGTTTTTTGTTCCAGGTGGTTTCACCACAATTTAGTTATAATTCCAGCTTGGTCCTGGGAGGAGGTCAGTGTGACTTCCACTCACTCCTCTGACTTCTTGATTCTCTCCTTTTGACAGTTTTAATATAATATATCTTGGAGAAAGTCTTTTTGGCTTGAGGAGATTAAGTGTTTTCTTAGCTTCTTGTACTTATGTGTCCAGTTCCTTTCCCAGGTTTGAGAAATTCTCAGCTTTTATTTCTTTGACAAGGTTCTCTTCCCTTTTTCACTTTTCCTTCTGGGATACTAATTATCCTTATTTTCCCTTTTCTAATGGAGTCAGATAACTCTCATATGTTCTATTTTTTTTTAAATCTTAGCTGTCTTTCCTGTTGTTCCTGAATCAATTCTAAAATTATATCTTTGAGCTCATGAATTTTGCCTTTCATAAGATCCATTTCATCTCATTTATTCTCATTCTTAAGCTTTAAAATTTCTGTTTAGTTCTTTTTTTGGTTTCTATATTCTTGGTAAAGTACTCTGGTTTATAAATTTTATTCCTGAGTTTGTTGAACTGTCTTTGTGAGTGTTCTTGTATTCAGTTGAGTTTCTTCTTTACTGCTTTTTTGAATTCTCTATCATTTATATCACCATCTTCCATGGCTTTGAATTGGGTTTCTGGATAATTGTAATGTCCTTTTTGTAATAACTATGTTACCTTGTTTGTTTACAGTGTGTTGCTGATCCTCTTCAAGTGCATTTGAAGTAATGAACACTTTTCTTATTTAGGTATCATTTTGTTTTTGCCAATTCAGTAAGTTGATGAAAAGCTTTTTTGTTTGTTTCCCAGTAGATGGTGCTATAGTGCAACTTTTTCTTTTATCTATTTACTACTTCTGTCTCTGAGATCCCTGGTGCCCTGTTGTCCTGAGAGTTGCTGTCTGGGTGAACAAGGTGATAGGTGACCTATCTGTGTCTGGGTTGTCTGGGTCTTGGGGCACCACCACCATTGGGAGGGGGTGTGGATGTGACAGTTGTTTCTGTGGAGGAGCCGAGTTTGCAAGCCTGCCATGGTGCTGCCTGGTTTACCATGGCCATTGGTGCCACTGTGCTGTGGCTAGGAGTTTGGAAATGCATCTCTACTGCTGCTACCAGGCTCTCTGGAGTTATGAGCACCTCTGCAATCAAGGGAGGAAGCCAGATCCTTCTGTGCTGACACTATTCTGTCCTCATTACTCTTTGATGAGCTGTAGTGTTGGGGCTACACAACAACTCCTTCACTGTCACACTTGTTGGGCCTGTGGCTGAGCCAGGAAAACTGGGTAAATGGGCTTCATCCCTTTCTTTTCCCTATTCTGCTTCAATTACATGTGCCAAAACACCCACCTCCAGATGTATTGATGTATGGATCAGATGACTCAGTGTGCTGAGCAGAAGAAACTTGGTTGGGTTTTAAATGTCCTACTAGCTGTAGATCAAAGGGGAGATACAGAGGAGTGATCTCACGTCCCCATGATGGTGATGTAATTTTATCTACTCTATTGTTGATGGCAACTTGGGTAATTTCTAGTTTTTGACTATTGCGAATACTATTGCTATGACCATTCCAGCAGATATCTCTTTTTGTGAACATAAGAATGAATTTCTTTCTGAGTTAGCTGTAGTAGATCATACCAAATAGTTTTCCTAAGTGTTGTACATGTCAACTTCAGTTGTTCCGTATTTTCTGTAACACTTGGCATTGTCAGGTGCTGTAATTTTAGCCATTTTAGTAGGGTTTTAATGGTTGGCATGATATATTTTTAAAGTAAATTGGATTATATCTCTTTTATGCTTTAAATTGTCTGACAGTTTTTAATTTTGACTAGAATAAAATCCAGTCTTCTTGTTATTGCCCACAGGCCCATGGACTTTTTCCTGTCTCAATGACTTTATTTACTCAACACTCCTGCTTATTCACTCTACTCCACTGACTTCATTTCTGTTACTTTGAATTTTCAAAACTCTTTCTTCCTTCAGAGATTTTTCTTGTTTCTTCTGTAAGGAGAGCTCTTCCCCTAGATGTCTACCTCTCAAAAACCCACACAAGAGGATTTGAAACAACCTCAATGTACAAAGATAATGGAAATATAAATTGGGTATATTTATGCAATACTGTAGTGACCTTGAGTGAATGAGAGCTACACATTTAAAAATATTTTTTAAAAATTTTATTTTACTTATTTTTAGAGAGGGAGAAGGGAGGGAAAAAGAGAAGGAAATATCAACGTGCGGTTGCCTCTCACATTCCCCTTAATGGGGACCTGGAATGCCACCCAGGCATGTACCCTGACTGGGAATTGAACCAGTGACCTTTTGGTTCTCAGGCCTGCACTCAATCCACTGATCCATACCAGCCAGGGTGAAAGCTGCACTTCTTTGAAGTATTTGAATCTCACAAATATAATTTTGAGTCAGAAAAAGCAAGTATAGGGTACAGTGTTTTTTATGTAAAGACTAAAAGATCCTGCACAAGAATACTTTCTATTACTTAAGGAACACACTCTCACACACACATATACATCAGGGTAATAAGCACTAATCTTCGGACAATGAGTCTAGGGAGTGGGAGAAGTATATACAGAAAAATTGCTACCAATTATTTCTGTAGCTGGGTCTTTCTTACATAACTTATGCCCTGTTTTGAGTTATTTAGCTCTCAAATATTGTATGATATGCACATTTAAAAATACAAAAAGTGAAAATTATAAAATAAGATAATTCAATTTAGGAAATTTCAACATAAAAAAGCATTTCCTTGTGGTCATAACAAAGCAAACCTGAGCATTTCCACCTGGAACCTTCATAAATAAACTCTGTTTAACATAGTGCAAGTTACACTATGCACAAAAAATAAACTCAAAATGGATAAAAGACTTAAATGTAAATTGCAAAACCATAAAACTTCTAGAAAAAAACTGAGGGAATAAAATATCAGATATTCGGGATAGAAATATTTTTGATGATGTATCTCCTAAGGCACTAGAAACAAAGCAGAAAATAAACAATGGACTCCACCAAATTAAAAAGCTTTTATACAGCTAAAAACACCATCAACAAGATGGGAGAACATTTCCACCAATGATACATCTGACAAGGGATAAATCTCCAAAATATACAAAGAACTAATATCACTCAAGGCCAGGAAGACAACCCAGTTAAGAAATGGGCAAAAGACCTATATAGACACTTCTCCAAAGAGGAGTAGGTTCATAGGCATATGAAAAAAGTGCTCAACATCATTAATCATCAGAGAAATACAAATTAAAACCTCAATGAGATATTTATTTATACCTGTCAGAATTGCCTACCATCAGTAAGTCAACAGACAATAAGTGTTGGCAAGGATGTGGAGAAAAGGTAACCATAATGCACTGTTGGTGGGAATGCAGATTGGTGTGGCCACTGAGGAAAAAGCAGTATGGAGTATCTTTAAAAAATTAAAGATGGCGCTCCCTTTTGACCCAGCAATTCCACTTCTGGGATTACACACTAAAGATCCTGAAACACCAATACAAAACAAAAAATGTACTTTTTTGTTTATAGCAGTGCTATTTACAATAGCCAAGATTTGGAAACAGTCTAAGTGCCCATCAGTGGATGAGCAAATAAAAAAGCTCTGGTACATTTACACAATGAAATACTATGCAGCAGCAAAAAAAGAAGGAACACTTACATTTTGCAATGGCATGGATGGACCTGGAGAAACTTATCCTAAGTGAATTAAACCAGTCAGTGAAAGAAAAATACCACATGATCTCACTTATATGTGGGATCTGATGAACACAATAAACTAATGAACAAGAAAGCAACAGAAGTTTAGAGACATAGAACAGCCTGATAGCTGTGGGTAGTGGGGGGCAGGATGGGATGAAAGATGGTGCAGGGATTAAGCAAAGAACATTTATACACAACCCATGGTCACTTGACAACAATGTGAGGATTGGCTTCAGGTGGGGAAAGGGTGGGGCTGGGTGAGGGAAGGGAAGTGGAGACAGTGGGGATGACTGTAACAGCTTAATAATAAAAAAAAAGAAAAATGTTTAAAAATTCTTCATTTAATTTTTAATACAGTAAATTATGGCAGACAAACCCACATAAACAAAAGGACTTCAGAACCCTCAATAATTTGGAACAATGTAGACATTTGCAAATGACTGGCCACCAGCCTCTTCCTGGAAGTTCTGCTGACAATGCAATTGCTTCATTCCATTGCTTGCTCCTGTGGTCGTTTCTGTCTCACTTTCTCAAATCCAACAGAGACCAGAAATCTCTTGAATGGCAATTACAATTTATATTGTAAATCTAAGTCTCAGTGCCATGAGAGATATCTCTGGGGTGTCACTTAACTGGCCAGGGCAACAGGTCCCTGTTGATAGCCTCCTATTCTGAAGTTTCAGACCAGAGCAGTCTTTGTGCTCCAGGAATTTGAGCATCATCATGGGATGCCTGATTTCCATATTTAACAAGTGTGTTCTGGCAGAAAAATTATATTTCTTACAAGCCAAATGTTCTTACTAACATTTGGGTACAATGCAGGTCATGCAATTACTGCTCACTTGGGGTTTGGAAAGGAATGAATAATTAATTTACAAGGACAATTCAGAATAGACTTAAGCAGACATTACCGGTGAGCTGCCAGAAAATTAGGCAACAAGCCTTCAGAACCACTTCCTAGTGTGATACCATGTTCCTTCGTACACTTCCCTTGGGGAAGGTAAACCTGCCCCACCCACGGTGGCAAAGAAACAGCCTTGCGAAAATGCGAGACCCGGTTAAGTCCCTGGGTGTCAGATCCTCCGCTCTCCAGAACTTCTGCACTCTCAGATCTCGTCCCACGGGTAGACACGCGTCTGGGAGTCCGTGGTGGAGCCGCACACGGGTGGGCACCGATGGTAGGTGTAAAGGGGGAAAGGTGGCAAAAATGTGAGCGACCTGGAAGCCAGAGAGTGGGACTCCTGGGAGTGTCCCTACCACCGGGGCGACCTTGGGAGAGCAGATGTCATCTCTAGGAGGTGTGGAGCTTGCGTCTACCTGCCAGTTCAGACGCATTCGTCTTTCTCCCTCTTTTCCTGCCGGCCTTTCCCAGGTAGACCTAAGCTGGCTTCTTTCTGGTGAGCAGGTATTTGGAGTGTCGATTTAGATAGCTGGCCTTGCGGACCCTGAAGTCGAGGACGTGCAGGAGAGTAGGCTATGTGCAATGCAGGATGGGGACCCCGGGAGCCAAACCAGGACCAGGGGCCTCGGCTGAGGGGGGCTGGGAAGCGCGCCCTCTCACAGGGTGCAGGATGTAGATTCTGCCTCGCTGTGCCAGATGGCAGAAGGGGATGTCATCGCGTCCCCACAGGGAACGAAGGAGAGTCCGAGGAGGGAACCCCGCTCCTCCAACAACCATATCCATACTTCCCCCACTGCACCCTTGTAGCCGACCCACGGACACCTCTCCACCTGAGATACTGAAGGTCGGGCCCTGAGGAAAGGAAGGGGATAGGGGAGGGAGCAGTTTTTGCGCAGGGTACTTCAAGGTAAATGTGGGGCCAAAGTTAGAGGGCTTCAGGCGAAGAAGGGAAAGTCAGTGGCCTGACTTGGGGAGTCTGATGTTCAGAAGTCGCAGGATTAGGCCCCCGCCTCTTCCCCTCCCACCCTCTTCTCTCTTCCTAGAAGCCTGATGTGGAGACGGTATTCCTGCTGCTGTGCTGTGTGTTCATAGTGCTTCCACTTCAGATTAGAGGTATGTTGGATTTGTTCTCAGGTCTCGGAGGTGCCCCTCACCCAAGTGCCTCCTTGACGCTCTGCGCGAGCTTGCTGTGCAGACCTGGGCGGTCCGTGGGACTCTGAGCCTTGCTGATTACACTCTCCCAGTGGAACAGGCAGAATTCCCTAAATGGGAGTTTCATTTCCAAGTGTCTGATGCTCAGTCCCAGATGTCACCTGTGAGCTTTGAGGTGACTTTCATGAAGAGGAGGATGAAGAAAATTTGCAAGTCAAAACTTGAGTTAATGGGTTCACATGGATGTTTTACATGGCAGAGTCATTTTATGACCCAGGATAAAAGCAAAGAAACCATCAAAAGACAAATTTCTTCCAAGAATGAAACTAAGCAATTTGGTAGAAACGAACTTTAAACTGAGTAGTTTTAAACAATCCTTTTTGGAATAAGGTACACATTTTATATGGCTTTTATTTAAGACAGAGTGAAATAGCTGAGTGGCAGAATAAAAGGAAAACAGGAAAATTAAGACTGAGAAGGAACATTTCCTCTGACCCAAAAGGATGAAAGAATGAAGTGGGAAGGAAAAGGGAATCAATCATTCTAGATGCTGAACAAGACTGTGTGGTACAAACAGTAAATTCTGTCCTATGAACACATAGGAAGGACTTTGATGCTTTCAAATCAACAGACTACTTATTTTTTTTTTAGGTGAGCCCCACACTGAAAAAACTCTCAAATAAAATTGGCTAGGAAATTGAGACACTTGTTAAAACTACTAATAAACAAACATTAAATTTCTCTTTCATTATTATTTTTTCTCTTTCATTTCCTAGATGAATGTCGGGACATTAGTGTGCAAAATGAGACACCTTCAGTAAACCAGCCTTTTGCTTTTAATTGCACATACCCTCCATTAACCTCTGGGAAAGCACATGTAACTTGGTATAAATATCCTAGCAAAATTCCGATATCCAAAAACATGCAGACTAGAGTTTACCAGGATCAAAACTGGATTTTGTTTCTCCCCTTGGCATGGGGGGATTCTGGAATCTACCAATGTGTTATAAAGTAAGTTCTTCACTGAAATAGAACTAGCACTCTCTCTCATGTATATATATATACATTATATATATACATTATATATATAATTCTTTTAGGAAAATTCTTAAGAAATTATTAAGTATAGAAAACTCAATGAGAAGAATATAACGTAGTTTTACAATTGCTATAAGACAATTTCCAATGAACACACTTTAAAACCAAACATATTTGTAAATCAGTTGTTGGAATATGAAATGCAGCTTTTTCCATGGAAGTGATGCACAGCCAGACCAGCTTACAAAAAAATCTGTGTATTCCAATATTATTGTTGCTGCCTACTTTCTTGGAATGCCAGTTTTTGTGATAAGTGGCACATCCAGATAGGAATAAGCCTCCTTTGAGCACTTTTTTGTAAAGCATCTGCAATGGAAATTTAACAGTGGCTAAGCACCATGTATGTTCCAAACCCAATGCTAAGTCCTGTGCTAGAAAGCAACTGTATAAGTGAATGACACAGGTCTGGTGAGAGATTACTGAGCCTGGTGGGGACTGTAGTGAACTGGAAAACATGCCCCACCAAAGGCGGCAGTCTATTCAGCTCAAGTATATTTTGTAGTTTTTCAAGAAAACCTGGAAATTAGTGTGTGTGTGTGCGTGCACGCGTAACTTTTTAATAAACTTTTTGTGTGTGTCTCAGATAAAACACATCTGTGGACCAGATTTTGCCTGAGGGCCCCAATTTTGTTGCTTTCCCTTATTAACATTCATGACCTTAACCTTAACAAATTATTTGACCTCTCTGAGCCTTGGTTTTCTTATCTGCATAGTGGAAGTCACACAGGCCTGATACGGTTGAAGTGAAAAATAGCTGAGATCATGTGTGAAGTAGGTACCCCTGAAACAAAGTTGCATTCTCTCTTGTTTTGTTTCTATGGTATTTCCTGGTCCCTTTCTCTGTCCCAGGATGGCCTGTGCCCCACTCTGGTTCATGTCAGATTCCTCATTTTCATATGTCAGGTCAACTTGAGGGCCAAAATTTCTTAGTGGTACACAAGTAGAAGCGGCCATTAGCCCATTTGCCTGGCCTCTTTCCACAATTTTACTTGCTGACATTTTAGGGAGGTCTGCCCTCCTGTTTTTATTCTCAGCTACAAATAACTAGAGTTGGAGATTGTTTGTCATACAAATTCACTTTTAAATCTAGACCAGATTTAAAATATTTAAATCTGGGAGCTGTGAAATGTGGAAAATCATCTTTCATAGAAAGAAATTATAGATATTGTCTGTCATGGAAGAAAATAAATATGAATTTTCACAAAATTTTAATGTATAGATATGATACATGTTTAACTATATATTTTTACTTTGAAATAATTTCAAGTTCACAGAAAATTTACAAGAACATAATAGAGAATTCTCATCTATCCTTTATCTAGATTCCCTAATTATTTAACATTTTTCCACATTTACATAATTCTCTCTCCATATATATGTATATTATACCCAATATTTTTCCTAAATCATTTTCCCCACATCATTTGAGTTGTTTGTATCATGTCTCTTGACTCCTTAATATGTCAATGTATATTCCTATCAACAAGAATATTTTCTTACATAATCACAGTATAGTTAACACATTTAGGAATTTTACTGCCATACAACATTTTAAAAATCTAATCCTTGATCCATATTATAATTTTATCAATAGTCTTAGTGCTGACCAATATAAATATTTTTCTTTCCTTTCTAGCAGAGGATTCAATTCAAAACCAAGCATTGCCTTTGGTTGCCATGTATGTTTAATCTTTTTCATGTGGAACAGTTCTTCAGTCTGTTTTTCATGACATTGATATTTTGAAGGAGTACAGGCAATTATTTTATATTATATCCCTTAATTTGGGTTTGCCAGGTATTTCTCCATGAGCCTCCATGGTTGGAACACTATGAAAGTTGTGTCCTCTTCAGAAACCTCTCAGAGGCATATTTGCCCCTCATTGGTGATGTTCATTTTGATTACTTGGTTAAGGTGTTACCCAGTGTTTCCACTATATAAATAATTTTTTCTTGTAATTAATGATTTGTGAGATATGTATTGTCTTGTGTGAGGCAGAGGGTTTGCACAGTACCTTGAAGATTATTTTGATTATATTTGAAGATATACAGAATCATTTGATTTTGTAATTGTTTGAATTTATTAGATTTTAATTTGTTATTTTCTTCCAGTAATACAAATATGTGTCACCGAATACATGTAAACTTAACTGTGTTTGATGAAAATCAGTGTGCTACTTCCAGAAACAGTCAAATGAATTTATCAGATGAGTACAAACAAATATTACATGTTGGAAAAAATGGCAGTCTTACTTGTCATCTGAACTTCCCAAAGAGTTGTGATTTGGATTCAGTAAAGTGGTATAAGGTAAAAAATTTTTAAAAAATCCTATTGATACTTTTTCTCCTCTTCTTTAAAACCCACTTCTTTTTTTCAACTTAAGTTGTATTTTTAAGGCAGGGTTAGTAAAGAGATATGTGTACCTAAGACAGATCTGTCAGATAGCTGATTGCTATTGGTAAGTTTACTTGTTAATTACTTATTTTTAAATTTATAGTTATTATAGCCTCATATATTTTATTATTTTCATCTACTACCTCCCCACTATTATCCCTATTTTTCAGACTCTCCTTGGCTATTTTCTTTTACCCTAACAGATTAGTTTGCTTGAATGGGCACTGCATGCACATCAGTTAATAACCACAAAGTATAAAAAGCCACCCTCTGGAAAGCCTCCCTTCCACTCCTGATCCATGTTTGTCCTGGGTGGGCCCACGGCACCTTCCCTAACATGTAGCTACTACTACTAGTTTCCTGCATTTTTTGCGTTTTCTTTGTATAATGCTGTATAAGCAAATGACACTATACATCTTATCCCTTTCTTTTTTATGCAATAAGGGAATCCTATACTCACCTTTCTGCACCTTGTGTCTTCACCTTCAGAGATTCTTTTTTCTTGACTCTGTTGGCAAATAATAATGCATAAGACAGAATTCTTGGTGTGGGGGAGCACTGACTAGTCATTTATGGCTGAAATTAGTTTTCCGCAACCCTGCTTGCTGGCACTTGCTAGTACAACCATCTAAGTAAGGAGTTTGCTTTGCGGGAAGATTTCCACCTATTAAATCAAATTCTTAAATGGTGATAGGATTATCCAAATTTCTTATTTTTTTCTTGAATGAGTTTGGGTAAGAACTTATTTTCAAGGAAATTGTCCATTTCATTAATACTCTGGCAAGGAATTGTTTATCTTCTCTTTTAATATCTGATTCTGCAATAAGCTTTCATCTTTTAATACCCATTACAATGTCTCTCCTCTCTCTGCCTGTCTGCCCTGCCCCCCATATTTGCCAGTTCTTTAACTTCTATCACTTCTTTCAAAGAACCATTCTTTTTGACTTTATTCATCCTCTGTACTATGTTTCACATTCCTTAATATATAGATATGATACATATTTAACTATATATTTTTACTTTGAAATAATTCCAAATTCACAGAAAATTTACAAGAACATAATAGAGAATTGCACAAAAAGTGAAAAAATGTAGCAATGAATGCCCTTATTCCTGTCTTTAAACACACATTTGCCAGTATGTGAGGTTTTTTCTTTTTCCTTTTTTTTAGGATTGGTATCTTTAAAGTTTTGAGTCTTGTAAATGATAAGCATAGTATATCCCTATATTTGGTTTTCTTTAATTTCTCACAATGTTGTATAATATTTTTGTGTAGACATCTTGCATGTTTTCTATTAAATAATTTTTAGAAAATTGATGTTTTCTGATGTTATTGCAATGGATGGTTTTATATAGCAATATTCTATTTATTGTTTCTTTATCTCACAATGTTGGTAATTTCATCTGTCTATTTTAATAATGGATCTATAGGTTCTTTTGTATATCATATGTACATAAATCATGTTGTTTGTGGATTAATGACAGTTTTATTTCGTGCTTTTTTGCCTTTGTAACATTGATGTTTTCTTTCATATTCAGTGAACTGGCTAGGACCTTCAGAGTGATCTAGAAGCTATTACCATTCCGGTGTTATTAATCTACTATAGTGTTATCACCACTCCAGAAGTGGCAATAACAGCATCTTTGTGTCATTATATTGGAAAAAGCTTTCAATATTTTTCCATTAAGTGTGATGTTTGTTTTAGGATTAAATGGCCTTTATCAGATTGAGAAAGTTCTCTTAGTTTGCTTGAAATTTTATGAATGGATGTTAAATTTTATCAGTTGCCTTTTCAATATACCTATAAATTCTGTTGCTATACTGAATAACAAGAATTGATTTGTGAATGTTATACCAATGGTGCAGTACCAGAATAATCTGAAATGACGTGTAACCCTTTTTATACATTGCCAGATTTGGCTTACTGATATTTTGTCTAGGATTTTTTTCATCCAAATCATAAAGAGATTGGTCTGTAAGTTTTGTTTCTTGCTTTGTCCTTGTCAGATTTGGGTATAAAGGGTATGCTGACCTTATAAAATAAATTGGGACGTAATCCTTACTTTCTTCTAGAAATGTTTCAGATTGATTTTATTTCTTCTTATACATGCTTTTATTTTGTTTATTTTTTAAAGGTTTTCTTTATTTATTTTTATAGAGAGGGAAAAGGAGGGAGAAGAAGAGGGGGTGAAATCAGTTGCATCGATTTCCTCTCACATGCACGCCGACAGGGGCCCCAACATGTGCAAACTGGGACCAAACCTACAACTCAGGCACATGCCCTGACCTGGAATTGAGCCAGCAACCTTTTGGTTTGTGGAATGATGCCTAACCAACTGAGCTATACTTGTCCGGGCTCTTTTAACATGCTTTAGAATTTAGGAGTAAAATTATGTAAGACTGAGACTTTCTCTGGGGGAAGAGTTTTCAGTTACAGATTCAGTGTCTTTAATTATAGAATTACTCAGATTTCCTGTTTCTTCTTATAGCAGATTTAGCACATTGAGCTTGTTTAGAAATTTTCATTTTATCTACATATTTTTTAAAAATTATTGAGCTGAAATTGTTCATAAGATACTCTTACTATCTTTTTATTGTTTATAAGATTTGTAGTGATGACTTCTTTTTCACATCTGGAGGCATTTATTTCCATTTCTCTCTCTCTCTCTCTTTTTTTTTTTTTTTTGTTGATTATCTTTGCTAGGGGTTTATCAACTTGAAGAGTTTCTTCAAAGTGCTAATTCTGAAATTGCTCTCTCTCATTAGTTTTCTGTTTTATTAATTTCTGCTCTTATCTAATTTCCCCCCTTTATTTTTATTTTTGGTTTTAATTTGCTGTTATGTTAATAATTTTATGAAAAGGAATTTTATTCATTAATTATAAGCCTTAAAATTGTCATTTCCCTTTAAACTCAGTTTAAACTGCTTTATACTTTTGATATATTATATTTTCATCATACAGTTAAAAGTAATCTTTAGTTCTTAAAGTTATTTTTTCTTTGAACTCTGGATTATTTCTAAGAATTGTCTGATTTACAAATATAGTGGATTTTTTTAGTTACTTTTCTGTTTGTGATATTAAGCTTAATTGCACTGTGGCAGAGGATTCACTCCCTATGTTGTAAATACTTTGAAATTTGGTGGGACTTGCTTCAGGGCCGAGCATACGTTTCACTTTTGTGAATGTCCCATGCTTATTCAAAAGAATGTAAATACTGCAGTTTGGGTTTGTTAACTGTGCTATGCAAGTCTACAAATGTACTTTTTTCGTTCTTTTTCTTTTAGTTACTTAGAAAGATATGCAGAAATAACCCAGTGTGATTATAGATTTTTCTGGGTTATTTAGAAATAACATCACTCCATTTCTAAAGTCCAGCTTTGAACTTCTCAGAATATAGTGTTACACATTTGTCTGTGTGGCTTCTTCAAACTCTATTCCTCAGGCCGCTCAGCCTTCACCTTGCAGCCTTGCAACTATATTGCAACTAAATAGCCTCTTGGCATCAATATTATGACCCTTTAGGGTCTTGACAATAGGAGTCTTCTGGCAAGTTTCTCTTGACCTGGACCTGTTTTGGTCATAGATGTGAAATCAGTTGATATTTGTAGAGAAGTAGATTTTTAGAATCAACTCTGCCCCTACCCCTGTGTCAACATACAGATATATTGAGTCTTAATTTTCTCATTTAGAAAATGAATGAGAGTTTAGGCTACATGATTTCAAAAGGCTTTCCAAACCTTAAGGCTACTAGCCTGATAATAAAACCTATTATCTCCTGTTCCATTATTGTCAGACTTTGAGTAACTGGGTGACTTTTAGCAATTTAAGAAGTGTTATAATATTTATAATTATTTGAAATAAATTTCAAATTCTATAAGACTTGCAAATGAACTCAAAGCTGTGATGACTGGTCTTAAGTGGACATCAAATTTTATACTATTGACCTTTTTAAAAAGCAAATGCTTGGCCTCATTCTCTACTACTGAATCAGATTATGCATGAGTGAGACTCAGGCATACTCATTTTTAAAATAACCACTCAGCTTGAGAAGATAGGAGGAAGCAAATAATATAAGGAGAGATAATTCTGCAGTGTCTGCCTGCTTAGATTCAGTAGCCTCAGTTATTCCTCTGTTTTTGCCACTAACTAGTCATGTTGGATCAGTCCTTGGGCCTCAGTGTTTTCATCTGTAAAATGAGAGGGTTGGGATAAATTATCAAAATATTTAGAACTTATTATTTGCCTGGTGCTATGCCAGCCACTGGGGATACAATGATGAAAGAGACTCCTTGCCTTCAAAAAAAGTTATAATTCACCAAGGTAAAGGGGACTAATTCAACTTAAGATTTTAAAAATGGCTTAGACGGATAGAAAGTTCAGGTAGAGAAATATGATGGATATAGTGGTAAATGCTCACTATCCATGGTGAGCCTCTTTATCCTACAGAGACTATAAAGCTGAATATAAGAGCAGAACAGCCAAAGACACCCTATGCTATCCAGAGCTGCCTCCAGTTAAGGTTCTGGATGTGATTCGCTCTCTCCTCTGGCTTCACTGAAAGGCTAATGTGAGAATGGTGAATCTTCCTGCTTTTGCTACTGCACTGCATGCATGGCACTGAGTACTTTCTTCAGGGTCCAGTACCCAGGTTTGTGGGAGCAAAAAAGCAGTGTGTATGTCTTCTTAGTCATTTGTTGGTTTGTCTGTGTCAGGTGTGGCAAGACTTCACACCCTGTAGTTGCATAAGTAGCAGTTCCTGTACTCTGCTTTGCAGGTGATATATTTCCAAACCTTGATTTCCACCACCATGATTGTGATAGAGGTAGCAGCTCTAGGTGAGCTAGTCTTAGAGTAGTTCTGGACTAGACCTCATTCCTTGAATACTTAATATTTTGTAAGCACCTAATATCC